TGCCGCTAGACCGATGCCCCTTCAATGCTACATCTACCAAACCGGCTGATGAAGGTATAGTAGCGACATCTATTATATAAAACTAGTAATCACGGCCGGATTAACCAATAGCAACTGCCCAAAGGCCCCGGGTCGTCGAGGGTCCCTAGGCCACTAAAGATTTTATACCAACGAAAATTTTATCTATACTTATATTATAAAGCGGTTGAGTTTGTTTATTGGAATCTGGAAAACGCTAAAAGTAATAACGATACCCGTCCTTAAATCGGGTTAAAACTTTCATCCATTAATAACTATGTAAAAAAAAATTAAATTCTTTCATATAGAAATTGGACATTGTCTAGACTGACCTGACTTGGTTACCTATGTTCACGTCTTCAAGTCATCTTTGGCTAGCACTTAGTACAAACTACTGGCAACAGGTAGTGATGTATACCTAAATATTATACTAAAATTCAACATTAACTTTTTATTCTTTAACAGATTTGGTTGAATCAAAATCAATAAACACAGGTTCATCGACAAACAGTTTAGAGTTGATGTGTTCAGAACACATCACGAACAATATCTCTCTGCGCTGGCACCTGATGCAGTCTGACATCACGGGCCGAGCCTCTGTCAAGGGCATAACGCTATCACAGGCCATGATGGATATTGTCAGAATGTCGCCGTTGAATTGGGGTAAGTAACGCTATACTATTAACATTTAAAGCACGGTTAGCGCAATGACTTAGTGGCAGTTTAATGAATCGTAGATATTTTGGGCCTAGCACAAAGTACCATTATTTTCTAAGTCAAATCATCATTTTAAACTAAACGAGATTACAGTCTGCCACAAAAGATACAGTTGATTCATGAAAATGTTGACGATGCATAGATTAAAAATTGTTCTTTTACAATTTCAATGCTGTAAATAACCTCAACAAAACAATTTTGCTTAGTCTACGTAATTGAATGGTGGCTAAAGAAATGCCTTAATTTCAATTTTATTTATTTATTATTCTTTGTTGTATATTAACACATATGCATGGAACAAATCTTTGTGTGATCGACAAATTGTTGATCCGAGTGTAATGTGTATGTAAAATTTTATGTTTATAAATGAACCCACTATACAGTTCAAAATTTGAATGTGGTGCATGTTTTACTTAAATAAATAAAAACTGTCCACACTTCTAGGACAGCAATATTCCCATTGAAAGTATACTATTTTTATCATTACTTCTTTTTACAGAAGTCAGTGTCAACAGCCAGTGTATAAAGCCGCAAGAAGAATACAACTGCACGGCGGGCGAGTGCCTTTCCCTAGGAGTGGCAGTGTGGAACCACCTCAGTAGACCTCTACACAAACTGTGTCTATCCGTGCAGTTCTATCAAGACTACAACAACGGAGTGCTAAGCTACAAGCTTGACAACAGAGTTGCTACCGCTGGGAATAATAAGTAAGTAATTACAATCTTAAAAAAAAGTTTCTCTACTGTAGAGACAAAGCTTACCATCCCCCGACGGTAAATTCATGACTTACTGAATCTATTGTTACCTAAGTGGAAACTTATCCATTAAGGATAAATTTTAGGGATTGACTTTGACTGACAGAAAAATAGAAATATGTCTAATGAAGGGTCATTTTTTTAACCTTTACACAAAAGTTGAAAATATAAATAAAATATTTGTGCTAAAGTTCAAAACGATTACTTGTAACAGTTCTGATATTCTGTTGTATTGTTTTTCCTATTCCTATAATTGCTAATGGTATATTTATACATTTAAATTCTACTTTCAGAGTGGTACTCACAACATTACCAGAGTCAGCAAAAGCATACCACGAGTGCACCGTTGTGTTCCTGACCCCTGGCGAATATAAAATCGACATCCAATGCTCCACTACTGAACCGATACTTGACGAAGTTCCGCTAATCAAGGAATCGGAACACCCATCTATAATACAACCTTGTGCCGGAGAAGTCAGTCATATTTGGCGGTTTATACCTCCTGTAGCTATAAGCGTTACTGATTAAAATTATTAAATACTCGTTTTGCACTCGGAGTGTATCGTATGACGCGCTTAAGTCCGAAAAGTATCATCATCATCCAGTGATATTTCTCTGCTCGTTCGGCACATCTATATCATGAGGGTTTGCTATTATCTCTAACCTTGGCAGGCGGGCTGGAGATTGCAGTATAAATGTAATATACCATAAATTGATGAATGTTTCATTATAATACGCTTACGATACTCTCCGTGTGTGAAAAGACGTGGACGTTGTGCTTCGCAAACGAGTATAATGGCGATAACAAATCAATCTCTCGTTTGCGTACAACTGGTACTAAATTATTAAATTATTTACATATTTATGACTCTATTATTTAAAAAGACTTCATTTATGTCGGAAAAATATATAAAGTTTATATTATTCAATTGGGTCTTTTATTTCTATTTGTTCTGTAAATAGTTATTTTTTATAATAAGTTTTTTTACGTTTTGCGTTTTTTGTACGCTGGGATGGCGCCCAACAGGGCCGATGAATTTCAAGAAATATTAGGCTCCTATTTTGGCAAGAGAGAAATAACCTCCTTACGTCTCCGTTGTCTCAGGATACACTTCGGACGCCTCCCGATCCTCACCAAACCTTTTTTTTTGGAAAGGGGAAAATCATCAAATGTCTTCTCCCGCCCAGGATAGCGGGGGGGAGGGCGGGAGGGAGTGTCAGACTCTTACTGACCAAAAACCCCCCTGTTCCTTCTCCTGCTCTGGGCCGAGTCGTCTGGAGTGGTCGCGGTGCCTCATTGCGCTTACCCCGCAACCCCGGCTGAACATCAGCCCTTTAGGGCCCCGTCTCTCGAGGCGCACGCGGTTCGCTACGCGCCATACGCTCGAGCCTGGTTCTGCTCGGGCGGCGAGCTGCCCTTACTCGCCGACCGCAGACTCGCGCTTACGGTGGCTGGAGATCGTCCCTTGATCCCCGACGCCCGTAGTGTCGCCAGTTGCGGCGGCTGGAGCGTGAGGAGGAGGATTGCTCCCTCACGCGGGCCGCCTCTCTCTTTGCGAGCATGACTGCTTCACAAAAGAGGAGGAGACGGCGTCCCAGTTCCTCTCACTCCGCACCATGGCCTCGACTAAGGCCGGGCGCGAGAGGTCGCCGCCGCCGATCACTTCCGGACACGGTGGTGCTCAGTCCAGGCAGGGCATACCGCTACCGTATGCTCCACCATATCCTCTATGTGGTCCTCACAATGACGACACTCGGGCGTTTCCTTCCGCTGGATCCGAAACAGGTACCTACCGAAGCTGCCGTGCCCAGTAAGCACCTGCGTCAGGCGGAAGGCGAGGACGCCGTGGCGTCTCTCAAGCCACTCCTCAAAGAAGGGTCTTACCGCTGCTATAGTAGTGTGCCCGGCCCTCGGTTGCGACAGTCGCTGCTTCCACTCAGCCATGAGATCTCGCCGGAGCTCATTCCGCCACGCACTAATTTGGCGCGGCAGAGGATCTTCGCCCCGGCGACGCACGTCTGCGCGCAAACTGTAGACGCGCGCGAGCGCCTTCGCTTCCAGATCCCACGGCGGTGATCCGGCAAGGAGGTTCGCCGCCTCACCGGAGATCGTGCGATATCCGCGGATTATCCGGATAGCCTGACCCTCTGGGAAGCAACCAGCGTACGAGCTTGCCGCCTCCTCAAGTCCGGCGCCCACACAGGGGCCCCGTAGAGGGCCATGGATCGCACAATCTCCATATACAACCTCCGGCAGGAGGCGTTTGGCCCCCCGAGGTTGGGAAGGAGCCGCTTGAGCGCGGCCCCAGACCGTTCCAACTTAGGAGCCAAACGACGAAACCAAAACCATATACCTATGAGTCGATAAAAAGAAATCCAAAATCATTTATTTCAATTAGGCCACAGTGGGCACTTTTGAACGTCAAGCAAAAAAGAAAAAAATATTTCAATAGGTTTAAAATGCGTGTCAGTCTGTTCGTCTGTTCTCTAGTGAAGCTATTTGCTCGTTCCAAAATGTAGATTCCGGTGGAGAAGAATGAGCATGAAACTCCTCTTTAATCTCTTTCTGAAATTCATTTCTTTATTAAATCATGTAGCCGGTCCAGATATGTGAGAACGGTGTAACACTAATGTTTAGGCAAATAATTAGAAAAAGAAGTTCCTCAAGGACAACATATTTAGATAGAGATGACGAGTGCCAATAGGCGGCGCCCGTTCACGAACAGGACACGAACACCAGCACCGCTCAAATCAACCATATTATAGGGAATCGAGCGATCCAGTGCCCGTGCCACCGCCAATGAGACCTCTGAGTGAGCATGACAACTCCCAGCTGACACAAGTACCTATATTCTACATCTACAAGTCTAACTTAATTAAAATAGGTTACAGGGCACTCACATTTACAAAAACTTTAATAAGTCAAAAATTTATTTCAAATAGACCTCTGTAGACGATAGATATAGGGTTTTTTTATTTTATATTATACTACTAGCGGTCACCCGCGTGGATGTCGAATTTACTATTATATTATTTCAAGATTTTGTTTAAAATTTTCTTTAAAAGGCATTGTATAGGTAGTTATAACATTACAAAGAAAATTGGCAGTGATTTTGATATATTATATCGATGTATACCATATATAATAAAGAAGGTATAAAAAGAGAGAAAGACTTTGTGTGTGTGTCAGTCTGTTGGTCTGAATTGTAGTTAAGCTATTTGTTCGGTCCAAAGTGTAGATAGATTCTTATAGAGAAGAACGATCAAGAAACACGAGTTACGAGTTTGTTACATTTGTGGATAGGAGAGCGGACAGCGTAAACGCAGTTTGAATACGGAACCCTACGGATAACAATGATGGAACCCTTTCAAAAAATAACTTCAGAATGTTGTTATTGCTGTCACTGTCAACCTGTCAAATAACACCAGAAGCGTTCCGGATCTGCATGTAATAATTAAACATCTTTTGGTGCTATCTCTTTCTTGTAAATGAAAACAACGTTTGGGAATTTTACAAAGACACATGTTGATGATAAAGATGTAGTATCACCAAACAATAAGGCACGGAATTTATTCACTAAGCTAAACGCATTGTTTGGTTAATGTCGGAAACATAACGCCAATTTTATTTCCTTGATTGAACTCATTTTTGAAATATTTTGCCAGTAAAAAATACCTTATCTTAATTAAGGGATACCTTATTTTATTTGCAATGTCTTCAATGTCGGCTACTCACTGTGCAATTGAAAACTGTCGAACAACCATCCTGAACAAACCGCCGGGAGTTTCATTTCATCCGTAAGTCAAGAAGACCCACCGCTTAATATTATCAAATCGTTATAAGAACTATTTACAAAACTACATCATTACATGTATGTTGTAAGCCGAAGTACTGAACAAGACTTCTCTAAATGACTTCCAAATCAACCCGGTTGGAAGTGACCTGTATCTAGCGGCTTCTTGCAACTTTTACCAAAGGATTATCGAATAATGCTTTAATTAAATATAAAATTATTCAATTATATTAGTCAGTAACATTTGTAACAAAATGTACTGTTTACAGGTGTCCAACAAATAATGAAATGCGCAAACGATGGCTGAGATTGTTAAAAAATAAATGTTCCATGTTAGATTGGTACAAAAGCCAGATCTGTTCCAAACATTTTGAGCCCAAATTCTTTGATTCTCAAAGAAAACTTAAAGAAAATGCAGTGCCAACTATCTTTGCACCTTCTCTACCAAAACTAGCTGTAATGAAATCTGTGAAGGTAGGTATGTAATTTATTTATCATTTAAATAGATCCTGACTTTAAAATAAAACCCAATATTCCCTTTCTTAAAACATCCCTTATTCTGATCCTATCCTTGTACTCTTTATTTAATAATAAACCTGATATGGTAGACATGACCAATTTCATGGATGACTACCATGTCACTAGTCCATTGCCCTTTTCGTATTTCTAGCTAAGATTAATCATAACATTGCTTTGCTAATGTTTAGCCACAGAACAAAAACATGAAACTAGACACATTACAATTGCCATCAAATAAACTTGTTGCAAAAAAATTGTCTGCACCCAATAAAAAGGCTTTGACAAACAAGTCTCATGAGAATGAACCTCGCTATGTAAGTTAAGATTGATCTCTGATGAGTGAAAATATTCTATTCTGTAGTTCATTATTATCAACATTCTATTACACATACATGTTTTCTTATTACTCTTATCTAGAATATCTCCTAAAAACATTCACTTGATAAAGCTCATTATAAAATCAATGTTTGTGTTCATGTGTGTAAAGTATTAAGCTATGCTCATTATAAAATCAATTTATGTGTTCATGTGTGTATAGTAATAAGCTATTTTTTTCTGTACTGATCATTGACCGCCTGAATCATTCCATTATGTAGAACAGTGAATCAGGTATTGCAACTTAGTTTCAATATTATAATTACAAATCATTTTTAAGCATAATGTCTTAATAAATGTTACAGGACCCTCCAAGGACCAGAATCGACAGGTTATTGAACAAACTGACACAAGCTGAACTGACAGCCAACATTAGAAACAGTATGAGCAGACTGAAGGAGCCAGCTGACCTAGATGCATTTGTTTCTGATGACCTTAAGTGCAGTCCAGATGCCCCAAAGGAGGCTGTTTTATGGCTTATGGTAAAGAAACAAGAAAATTTGAACAACAGACTAATGGATTTAGTTGTCCAGACAAAAAAACATGTTGAAATTCTTCAGAACAATTCTGAAGAAGCAAATGTTGCTAAACGAGAAAATGAACATACTATTGAGTCTCTTAGATATGTTGTCAAATGTCTTCAAGAGAAGCATGCTACACTTGAAGAACAAATTGAGATACTGACTTCTGTAGAATCTAGATAGTTGTATTACACCAGAAAGTCGTGGACTTTTATTTTTATGTAAGTTTCAATAATTGTGTTAAATAAAACATGTCATTTAATAAATTATATTTATTTTATTTATATTTATCTTAAAGTATAAAAATATAAGTTACCTAAAAGCATAAAATGATGTTAAATATTAAGGATATTCCTCAAATTACACATTCCTAAATATTCATGAAGACAATAAAATATTGAGATGGGACAGAGTATTTTTGATTATTTGACAAACCTTAGTCAAAAATGATTTAAAACTACGTTTAGTGTATTTTGAGGAATTATCCTGAACACATTCAGTCTCACAGTTCTAGAATCATGATTATACTAAAATTATATTGACTAAAAATAAATTATTTTTCAATTATCAATTTCATCATCATCTATTTTTCATTTGTTTTTCTAATATTTGCCTTAATTTTAATTTTTTATTTGTCTTGTCAGACAATGGTCTTCCAAGAGGAATTATTTCCATTTGCTGCAAACGTCTTCTAAACCGTTGGTAGAATTCTAGAACGTTTGGATCGGCCCAAACATGGCGCGAGTCGAAATCTAGAACCCTCAGAGTATCTAAACTTTGTGCTCTACTTAAGGCTACATATGCCTGACCAGCTTCAAATATTTTAGATAGCGACATTTCCACACAATCTAGGGTTAAACCTTGAGATTTGTGAATGGAGAATGCCCACGCAAGATTCAATGGAACTTGTCGCCGACATAGTAACGATCCATTCGAATTTTTGACATACCAACATTCAGATCTTGCTGTGTACTCTTTCTTATTTTTAAATCTTACAACAGGAAAACCTTCCTCAAATCTTACAACAACACCTCGAGCTCCATTTACTAAGCCAGCATTAACATTTATATTTTTTAAAAGCATCACTTGAGCCCCCACCTTTAGTAATAATTTTGAGGGAGCAATAGTTTGCATGTCAAGTAGTTTGGTTGCATTTTCACTGTCTTGAGAGGTAAATATCTTCTCTTCACCATCTAAGTCACTTAGTTTCGAATCATTTATCATTTTGGAGTCATTTGTATGTGAGCACAGCCTTGTAGCTAGGATACCATCACTCTCAATCTTTTGTTGAGAAGTCCCAATTAGACGGTCACTTATTTCTTTAGTGACCCTACCAATTCTAATGCTATTCAGAATAGAAATAAATTCTGAGTCTTTCTGCCTATGAACTTGTTTGAGTTCAAAACATAGTTCAATACATTTATCCCAGCAAGGTGACTGAAAGCAAAATCTCTTCCCATTCTTGCCCTTATCCACTACAGGAGGTAACTGTAGGAAATCACCACATAGTATCAGCTGTATTCCACCAAAAGGTTTGTCATTTTTCCTCACATATCTTGCCACAGCTTCCAATTTCTGTAAATATTTTTTTACTAATTAATTTATTTTTTGCTTATATTACAAAAAAGTTAAGGCACATCTGCATCTGTGAATTAGACTATTTAAAGAAGTTTAGTCTGGCAAATCTATGTTCAGCTTTTTAAGCTGCCATCATTACATAGACATTTTCATTATGATTTCGAAATCGTAATTTTTGAAATTATTTTCATTAATGATAGGACAGGGCAAGTTCTAGGCTATGTTTTGTTGTCTAGCTTGGTCATCCAAGTGTATGTTATTAACTTGTCACCCTGTTGATATTCCCCTTAACTAAACTGAATTAATTAAATATTAATTTAGGATATGTTTCTCTTAATATTATATATGGACAGTAATGAAACCAATAAAACAAAGATTACCTCAAAGAAACCACCATCAACCATAGATATTTCATCAATAATGAGATGTTTACATTTCCTCCACTTCTGAGCCACAAGTGGCAGTTTCATGGCTCTTTCACAGAGGTGTTCCAAGGTCCCACTTCCATCTCCAATACCAGCAAATGCATGAAGAGTTGTCCCTCCTAAAATGAAGATAATAATAATGGTTACAGGTAGGTACTGAATTAGGTAACTGCGGTTGAATATAAACACATTCAAATTACTTACCAACATGGCAAGCAGCAACACCAGTGGAAGCAGTAGCAATAGTGACATCTGGTGGCAAGGCAGCCACAATTCTCTTCAATAGAAAGCTCTTGCCTGTACCCGCAGAGCCAGTAAAAAATATATTCTTCCCTCCCAGACAGGCCTCCAATACTCTCTGCTGCTCAGGATTCAATGAACAAGTGTTTGTCAATGGTGATGGAGAATATAACTTCTTTGGAGCAGGACCTTTCACACTGTCGTCATTTTTGCGTTTCTTAGCTGGCGGTGAAGGAGTTGTCAATGTAGATTTTGGAATTTTCTTCTTAGCATTATGAATATCTGCTACAGTAACTGGGCTTATTTCCTCAAAGGCTTGTGCTTTTCCACTCAACAATTTAGATCGCATAGTCTGCTTCGCAGGTGTTGTATTATTCCCTTGATCTTTATCTCCAGTCATTTTAACGAAAATTGTTCTCAAAAACCCCACGAGGTTAGTAGGTGGTGCATTGGATATAAACAAAGTACAACCTGCTTCTTGAAACTTAATGCTAGCTTTACCTTCAACCATAAACTTCTTAAATACATTTACACCCTTTAAAGCAAACCTTATAGCAGCATGTTTCTCACTTGAAATCTCCATAAACATCTCACGAAATTCGTTTCGTATTAATCGAAGGGAAGCAGTCTTGTAATTCACTTTTCTTGTGATAGATCCTTGTGTCATCCATTCTAAAGTCACAGCACAGGATAAAAATGAATCTCCTCCCTCCATTTTCACAAGGAGATACACTTTTTAATACATAAATAAAATAAGTTTCATAAAATGAATACAAAGGCGCGCAAAGTAAGTTTATAAAATAACTGACAGGTGTGACAGTAATAATGGCTGCTGAAAATAGTGACGCCGTCATTTCTGAAAGTTCGAACTTCAAAGGACCATTCAAAGGACCGATGTCGTTGACCGTTCCTTAGCACCTGGGCTTTTGAGTCAAAAGACTTTTTTTACTTGTTGTACTTGATGCTAAAATGGAAAGTCCTACTCAGGCCTGTGACACTGTTAGTTCCACAGTTACCGTAGTGCGCTGGTGTACCGATCGCCATCTTGGTCGCCATATTGCTATACCTACGTGACGTCATCGTCACGACAATCGGCCATACTGTCACTACTGTCAGTCAGTTATGCGTGTTAATTTTGAGTGCAACTGCCGGTTTTATTTTGTGTATTCCTCGCTTTTCAGCTTGAGTTGAGTTACAAATAATCCCTTACGTTCCTTGATATTCACGTATTGACTGATCCGTAGTTTTTTCGCCATGGACGTGCGAAAGTGTTGTGTCGGTAACTGCTCGTCTACGAATCGTACTCATCGCCTTTTCCTTCTTCCAAAGGACGATAATTTGAGAGAATTGTGGCTATCATTCTTGATTCCAACCAACATAGAGCTCACTGGTCTGTCTAAGCATCAGTTATTGACTAAACGTGTTTGCCAAAATCATTTTGATCGTTATCAATTTGATAGCATGGGCAACCGCCTTCGCCACGGCTACCCTTGCTTGTTTTCTGATAAAGAAATATCTTTTGGAATTCCACTGAGTTCAACTGGTAAGTACCTATATGTATATGTTCATTCCATTTCTGGTATTAGTTTTCCTACATTACATTTCTGATCAGTGCTTGTTTTATTCCAGTTGGTGACCATTTAAGTGATCACAATTACTTTTTATCTGCTGCACCTGAGAGCCACACTGTAAGGGGTTCATACATTGAAGGTTGGTATCTTGTTATTTATATTTATCTTGTAATTTAGCTTGTATCTTGTGATGAATGAAGAACAATATCTTGAACTTTAATGTGGCAGTATACCTTATTAAGTTTTAATTATTTTCAGTTGATGATGACCACAACTACCACTTGCCCATTCTGCCTAAAAGTGTAATAGATGAAGCAGCTGTTCAAGGTGTGTAGTCAAGTGGACTTTTTTGGCAGTGCATAAAATAATGTTTGTAGCTCAGTTTGATTTTAAACAACAATATTTGATTTACAGGACATTGCTCTAGAGACCCAGAACCTATTGAAACCGAACTCATGGCACCAAGTTCTGATCAAATTTTGCAAACACCTGGGGTTGCTAACACCAAAGGTAGTCAATTTTTTACTTTATCGTTCTGTCATACCTACTTATATAGCGCCTCCGCATGGGAGTAGCTAGTTAAAAATAAAATAAATATTTTGGGACCCTTGCGAGTCAAACTCGCACTCACACTCAAAAACTGTCTAAAGTCTATTTTATTCTATGAATGTAAGTTATATGATGATTGAAAAATCAGCCTTTATTACAAATACTTTTACCTACTGTACTTTTTTACACACAATTTTTAACTGGTTAGTTGTAAACTATGTAAAATCTTTTTTTTTCAGCCAAAAATGTTTTGACTTCCTCATGTTTCGTGAAGAAGATGAAGAAACAAGCATTATCCGTAAAAAATAAATCCTTTAATGACAGACTAGCTGGAGCTAAAACATTAAGTCAAGATAGTTCTTTTCAACGGAGTTTTAGCATGATGAATAAACATGCACAGAATTTTATCATGATGCAAATAAAATCAGTAGGTAAAAAGCAGAAAGGTGTGAGATTTACAAATGATGAAAAATTGTTGGCATTGACTCTCATGAAGGAGAGCCCTAAAGGATATAGATTGCTACAAAAAATCTTTAAACTTCCATCAAAAAGGACATTAAACCGCTTGGCTGAGATGATTACTTTTGGTGTTGGTATCAATAATAATATATTCCAACTTATTGAAAGAAGAGCTTTGAATTGGGACATAAAAAAAAAACTTTGCTCTATAGTTTTTGATGAGGTAGCTCTCACTCCTCATTTGACATATGTTGAATCGAAGGATGAAATAAGAGGATTTAAAGACTTAGGCAGTCAAACATTTCTCAATTACGCTGACCATGCCCTTGTTTTCATGCTCAGAGGACTATGTTCTAACTGGAAACAACCTATTTGCTACTATTTTTGTGAGGGCACAACATCTGCTATTGAAGTAAAAAGAATTGTGCAAGAAGTAGTAGCAAAGGTAGCAATTTCAGGGCTTGTACCAATAGCACTTGTTTGTGACCAAGGTACCACATTTAGAAGTGCTTTGAAAGGGTTGCGTGAAGATACAGAGCAAAGAAGAAATGTGAAAGGCGAACACAATGGTAAATAAGAAAAATGAAGTAGTAATATAATCAAAAAAGTATTTTTATATTTTCTGTTTATTACATACCTATTTATATTTTCAGATGGAACAATTGAAGTCTCGGGACAGAGGCTAAGTGTCATTTTTGACCCTCCACATTTGCTGAAAGGGCTGAGGAACAACTTCTTGAACAAAAATCTGATTTTTAATAATTCAATTGCAACATGGGATGATATCCTCACGGTATATAGGGCAGATTGTCAACTGGGACACACCAGGATGAATAAAAAATTAACAGACCACCATGTGATATCAGCAAAAATAAAAAAAATGAAGGTCAGTGTTGCTGCACAAGTACTCAGTGAGCAAACAAGTGCCATGCTTAAATACACTGCCTTATTTGGTAAGTACTATAAAAAAGAGTGTGTCATGCACTGTTGAAGTGAATATATTTAACTTTTTAAGCAACATTAAAAAATGGTTGCTTTTCTCAATTCAACCACATATTATAATGTTTTTTTATATAATAGAGAAATCTTTAATGAAGTATCGCACTTATTAAATATATGTCGTGGTGGCCTGGAGGTATGGTTCGAAACCAAGTACCAATGTGACTTTTTCCGAGTTATATGTATTTTCTAAGATTATTTAGACGCCACTGACAAACGATGATGGAAAACACCGCGAGGACACATGAACTTATTTCTAATAAGTTACATCGCCAACCCACATTGAGCAAACGTGGTGATTAATCAAACCTTCTCTGTGTGTGAAACCATTGGTAAGCAGTGGCTACTAATAGGCTGTTGATGTGATGTATATGGGCTTCTTAAAAAATACCACAGTATTTATTTCACCGCCCACAGTATTTTTATTTGCAATCTGTAACCGCGCAGGAGTAGCTAGTAAAAGATATGCCAATCGACATACAATTTGTTTTTAGTCAACTACAAATAAATATATTCTTGTATTTTCGTAAAAAGATTCTTTATATTACCCAAAATGTATAATTAGTTAGGTACTATAACATTAAAACTTCAAAACATGTTCCGTTTTCAGATACAACGGTTGGTGGTGAAAAAGTTAGTGCAACCATGAAGACAACGGGTGACGCCGTAGAATTTATGGACAAGTTGTTCGATAGCGTCAATGGAACTAAACGCAACACAAAAAAAGGCAAGCTGAGAGGACCAGTAAAACCGAATTCGAAACATTTAGAATTCTGGCGCGAGGCAACAAGCACAATAAAAAATATAAGATTTGTGGACTCAGCCAGTAAAAGAGCAAAAAATAATAAAAAAGAGTACCTTGTGCGAGTTCCTTCTCTTGATGGTTGGGTTATGACTCTGAAAAGCTTTGAGAGGATAGCCAACTTGCTGTTTACAAAATATCATTTAAAGTATTTTTATCCTGGGCTTATCAATCAAGACCCTCTTGAAAACTTTTTTGGCAGGATAAGGGCAATTAATTATAGAAATGTTAACCCTGACTGTTATACATTTGTCAATGCCTTCAAGTCATTACTTATTTCGAATGTAATGGGCCCTCACAGTATTTATTCCAACTGTGAGGATGATGATGGGAAAAATCTAATAGATTTTTATAATTTACTAAAATCAAGCGAAGAAGAAAATAAAGAAAATGTCCCATGTACAAAAAATGTAGTTAGGAATACACCAGGTGAGCATGAAAAAACTGTTGAAAAATCCCAAGAGACATTGAGGGTAACGGCTGTAAATGAAAGAGTCAGGGTTCATTCATCTGCATATACAGCAGGCTACATATGTAGAAAAATAAATAAAAAAATGAATTGCCAAGAGTGTCAAAAGACTTTAGTTGCAGAGGCACAAGAAAACTTCCACAAATGGATAATGCATAGGGAGTATAAACAATTAAAAAACAGCAATTTAGCTTACCCCTCAAAGCAGTTTTTAATATTATACAGAGATATCGCCAACCTAATACATTCATATTTAAACCAATACGCCCATCTCAAAAGTACTGGCAAAAATATAAAAAAAGAAATCAACAAAAATCTTAAATTTGACTGGCTGGGTTGCTCAAAGCACAAAAAAATAACAAGTGAATATTTAATTAGCTTGATTTTAAGGTTGCAAATTCACAACTGGTGTAATATAATTAATAAAATATTAAGAGGAGATGTGGAGGAAAAACACATTTTAAAAATGAGTAATGCTCAAATGAAAGCTCATAAAAAATATAAAATGTATAGATTAAGAAGTAAAAATAAATAATTTTAAATTACCTAATCTTTCATTTATTTTTAAAAGTCGAAGATAAAACTTAAAAGACATTCCTGAATTGTTGCTTATCGACTATGGTACATCACTAGCAATATCGATATTTATATCTATTATATCGATTAACATCACTAACTACGTCAAAGTCTGTGACGTCATTACATGCGATACTAGCGCTTTGAGGTAACAAGTGAAAACTAATACCAAAAAGTAGAGTGTCCCATCTGTCTCTGACTAGTATATAGTAATCTGTGGTCCTACTATTAAATTCACGAAATAAATTTTATTAAAAAAAATCGAATTCAAACAATGAACTTAATTTTTTTTTAATGGAAAGCAATACAATATCCCGTATAGCCTATATATATCTTATCTTATATTTATTGACATAGAAAATAA